TACATGCTTAAATTAATAATAGATATACACATATCAACAAAAGTATTAGTATCAGTAATTAATAGCTGAAAAAAATTAACAAAACCTAAATCAATGAAAAACAGAATTAAAATAAAAATCTTGTTAATTTAAATTAAATAAAAAGTAAATGAAACCAAAAAATATACAAAATTCAAATAAAACCGAAAATGAATTTAAATTAAAATCTAACTTCAAATTAACGGTAATTTTTAGACATTTGAAGCTTGCACTTCTACTAGAACTCGACGGGCTACAAAACTGCATATATAAAATCTTTCTAAGAAACCGAATTAAAAAGCTCGAAATTTTTACAAAAGTTTGTTGAATTTTTTTTTTTAATGTTGCACAAAAGTTGGAAACTTGGAATAGCACTCTTTTTATAAAAAATAATTAAAATTAAATAACAAAAAATATAATAACATGTCAAGACTTGTCAATATGTGGTGTGGTGTGGCTATACTTTTTTCGTTCACTGTATAAATAAAAATAAATAATTCAGAAAACATCATTGTAAATTCAAGATCACCGCCGCCGCATAATGGCGGGCTTGCCTAAGTAGTAGAATGGATACAGTACACCATGAAAAGTTTCCACAATGTTTTTTTTTTTTTAAGTAGATCAATGCCTCGTAAATCTTCCGAAACATCTTTCTCACAAGCACAAGTTAGGTGGACCGAATTTCTGGTGGTGTTTATTACATTTATTCTAGAAAAAAACGTGGCAAAAATGTTAACCTCTATAGCTTTATTAAGCCAAAATTTAAGCTACTGAAATAAATATGAAGAAAAAGGTTTTATAGAACTCTATTAGGGTGGTCCAAAAATAAAATGTTAATTCGAAATTTTAATGCTCTCACCCCCTAGGATTGTTCTATAAAAAAAAATAAATAATAATAATAAATTGGCGCTTATACATACATATGTTAGTGTTTGGCCGCGCTTCTCCTCCGATTTGTGGCGTGCGCCTTGATGTTGCCCCACAAAGGGGTGGAAGTACCTACAATTTTATGCTGACTCCGAACGGAGATTGTATTTTTATGTTTTTCATGGCAGAAATACACTCTGAGGTTCGCCATTGCCAGCCGAGGGGCGACCGCTGTTAAGAAAAACCCTTTTTTTCTATATTTGTTTGCGATGTTGCTTTGACCAGGGCTTGCATTCAGGCCACCACTACACCACAGCGGCCGCCTCTGTTTTTGTTTTTATTTTGAAATCAATAAATGTTTAGAGATCGCTCAAAGCGCTCCAAATTTTCAATGTATTTTAAATGGGAAAAAAAAGTTTTTCGTATAAATAGTGTAGAATTTTTTTAAAATCAATATTTTTCGATCGGAATTTTTTTTTTCGCCTTAGGAGACTTCCAATAATAATACCTAATTGTTTATTTGACCATTTCTTAATATTAACTATTTTTTTATAACATCCCAATTTCAGAAAAGAAACAAATATTGATTTTCAGGAATTCTATACCATTTCTACCAAAAGTTGTTTTTTCCCCATATAAAATACATGGAAAATTTTGAGCGCTTTGAGCGACTTCTAAATATTTGTTAATTTCGAAATGAAGAAACCCGATATTGTAGTCTTAACTTTTTCACGTGCATTTTTGGCACACCCTTATGGCTATGAATGCAACGTTGATCTGGATTAAGGCCGCAGTTTATGAGGCGGTCCAACAAATTTTTTCATTGTCCATGACTCTCCACCAAACACCTAGGTTGTCAACTTTACTTCTCAATCGTCTACTCAGCCTAAAATAGCACTTGTTGGCAAGAGTGATTTTTTGTCGGATTTCAAGGCTGGCATTATTATTGGTGTTAGTTTATCTTTCGAAATGATAGCTGCCAATAGTGACCTGGGTGCCAAGGCGAGAATGTGCTGTCTGTTTATTGGATAACATGAGATACTTAATTTTGTCCTCCTAGCTATAAGAAAACAATCCTTGCCTCGTTTCATAATGAACATGGAAGTCGTTTATAGGTAATTGGTGGTCCGTTTTTTTATTTTTATTTTTTTACTTAATTTTAATATTGTTTATGAAGACATAAATCATATAACTGCATTTTTTTGTATTCTAACGAAAAAATATTCTAAATATAATTTTTTATATTAGATATTAATAGAAAAATAATGTTTTTCCCATATTGGTCATTGTTGTTGTTAAAGTTCCTTTAACGTATCAGCAGTCAATGGTTTCGTTGGGGATATCATAATAATCCCTAGCCTTGTAGGATAATATTTTCTATATTTCTCGGGCACTCAATATTTCCTTCAAAACTGCAGAAAATTGTTTGAAGAATTCTATCTACAGTGCCGAACAGAGGTATTGGCACAGTAAATTTTTCGCTATATATGCATAGTTCTTTATTCTAATTTATTTTCGATAATTTTTTATAAAAATATTGTTCACTCTACACCAGGAAACATAATATTAAAATCTCTAAACTTTGTGTAAAACTCAGGAAAATTCATAAAATTTGCACACAAATTTGCATCTTTTTATTCAGACAAAGTGCAAATTTGAAGTCGCTAGAAAATCGCATTGATTTTTGGTAATTTTTTTTTCACGCAAGTTCTTCCCTACAAAGTAATTCGACAATTATTTTTTGTATGGGGAAAATGAGCATCACCTTCCACTAAAATAATTGCCAAAAATCAACGCGATTTTCTAGCGAAAATCAATTGCATTTTATCATACTAAAATTGAATGGACTATAAAACTGCATACTTAGAATTTTTCTAAAAAAATCTGAATAAAAAGTTGCAAATTAGTGTGCAAATTTAATGCATTTTCCTGAGTTTTGCACAAAGTTTAGAGATTTTATTATTACGTTTTCTGGTGTAAAATGAACTATATTTTTTATAAAAAATTATCGAAAATAAATTAAAATAAAAAACTTTGCATATATTGCGAAAAATTCACTGTGCCAATAATTTTGTTCGTCACTGTACATGATGTACTCGTATTTTTTGTGTATATGCATGTGTGGGTGTATCAACCTCTTGATCTAAAGATAAAAAGTTATAAAATTTTATAATTACCATAACGTTGCATACCTACTTTATTGATCATGTGCGCAGAGCCTTTCATTTTCATACATACATATGCATAAAGTTTAGCCTTTTTTATCAGTCTTTGATGGCGGTACAAACCCAAATACAACTCACCAATATCTACATACCCAAATCAATAAGTGCATTTAAAAATTGATCATTTCTTGAAATGTAATGTACACAGCGGCGGCTGATTGGAGGCCGCTTTGTAAACTGGTTGAATTAGACAGGCCCCTCGTGCATGACGTCACGTAAGCAATAAAGCCTGCTCCAACACTCACACCATTGATATGGATTTTTTGTGTTTGTGCCATTAAGCGTGTGTTTATTCACTTGTTCGTACATATAATTGTACGTAATGCGATATGCAGAAATTTATGTACAGTGACCCCAACAAGTGACCACGTGTTTTTTCAATATTCACAATATTTTTTTTTCAAGTTAAATTGGGTTTTGGTTATTTTTCTACGAAAATATTGTCGAAGTTTTAAAAAAATCATATAAATGAAAGTTTCAATCTTTATGCAAAATTCGGATGAAAATTCAAAAACTCTTCATAAAAATTTAAAACTTCAATCTCAATGTTAAGAACATTTCTGTGTATGCAGTTTCAACTGGCTAAAAAATCCCGTTGACTTTTCAGAATTTTTTTGCGATTGGTTTTGCGGTTTTTATAACTTTTCGAAACTTTTATTTATATGGGGTTTGTTAACGCTTGGGTAATATTTTTATAAAAAACTATCAAAAAAATATTAGTTGAGAAACATTGTCAATAATTAGAAAAAAGTCAACACGTGGTCACTTGTTTCAGTCACTGTATGTCTGAATGTTCATTTGCACATTTACTAAAAGACTGTCATAACTCAAAAAAACTAAGTTTTTGGGCAAATGATGCAGGATTACTTTTTATATAATGCTTCATATTGTGTGCTGAAATCTTTAGTAGTTTCCGCGTAAGAAGACAATATCTATGCATCTCTTTTTTCTACATTTTGGGAGCAAATTGAAAATCTTAAACGTGTCTCCTAAAAAACTCGTTTTTGAGTTGTGATCAGTGTTGCCGTTTTGCTCCATATACTTCAAAAGTGATACGTGTTTGTGCAAATTTTCGAAAGATACTTTGTTTTTTTAGTACAAATTTGATACATGTTAAAGAGAAAATATTTATGTATGTATGTATGCAGTGGCAGCTTTTAAAATTTTATCGAAAATATTGAAACGTTTTGGGGTCAAATAAGCTTAGAGAAAAATGCTTTAAATGAACTATGAATAAAGAGCTGACTTAATTCATTTTTAATTTGCTTTAGTTTACTTGAGAAAAGATAAAGTCGACACTGAAGGCAGTCTCAGCTTTTTGACATATTTTCCAACGAGCTTAACGTTAAATGTATCACATAATTTGATAATTAACGTAAATGATCGACAGCTAATAGTTTTAAGTATGTACATAAAAATATTTGAATTTAAGTTTCTATAAAATCTATACATAATATTTTTGTTCGTCTCAAACAATAATCTCTTTTTCGATAGATTGTCACAATATGTAAAATATACTTACATGATTTTTCGGTTATTGACAATAATAAAAAGCAAAGGTATGAAACCATATAGCATTTTCTTAAGTCTTTTCTAACTTGATACTTTGATACTTAAATAAAAAATTTGTGATACATTTGATGCATTTTTGTTTCTTTTACGATACATTTTTTCATGACGTCGCGGCAACACTGGTTGTGATAGTCTTTCAGTAAATGAGAGATACATATGTACTACATATACATACATATGTAGACTCGTTTGTTGACTTGCCCAAAAAAAACAAAAAGAATCCATAAAAATTGCGCGTTTAACGCCGGTATTTTTTATATGCTCTTTCGTTTGTCAAAAGACGTTGTACCAACTAACTCTTTTTTTTTTGTGACCTACAAAAGCACGCCGTGCAAAAATGAATGATGAAATTTGCGCGTTATTCGTGTGGTAAATTATTTTGACTTCCATCGCTGGCGTAAAGCTTCAAACAACTGCTGCTGCAATTCCGATGGGTTAATGGAAAATTTTCTCTCATCATAAACTTACATGCCTATGTACATATATGTATACATATGTACAATAACACACACACATATTTCTTCTCTTAACAAGTTTTATTTATTAATGAGCGGAATATTTGGCCTTTCAAAAATTTTGCTTCGACAAAAAAGGTAAGTAGTAAAACCACCATCAAATGAACCATATACAAATGCTAGGTACAGTATTGGCCAATACAATAGAACCCCCATTTCAAAGTGATTTTGTTTCCCACTCATGTTTATTTATTTATTTTCGGGAATTTTCAATTCAAAGTTCATTCTCTAACAAAACCCATATAAACCCAAGTTTAAACATTGTTGAAAACAACAAAAAAATTCAACAAATTTTCAATAAAATTTCAAACGTTTTTCTCAGAAGAGTTAGAATTATTTTGAGTACACAGTTTTGTAGCCCATTCAATCTTAGTCTAATAAGGTGCAAGTTTCAAGTGGCTAAAAGTCGCCGTTGATGTTTTAGAATTTTTTTCGTCGAAGATTTTGCGGGTTTCTTCCATATAAAAATGAATTGTGCTTATTCGTTATATGGAAGCAAAAATTCTAAAAAATCAACGGTTATTTCTAGCCACTTGAAACTTGCACAATGTTAGACGAAAATTGAATGGGCTATAAAACTGCGTACTCAAAAAAATTCTAGCACTCCAGAGAAAAAAGTTTGAAATTTAGGTGAAAATTTGATGAATTTTTTGTAGTTTTTTACAAAGTTTAAAACTTGGGTTTAAATGGGTTTTGTTTGAGAATGAACTGTATTTTAATTGAAAACTCTTAAGAACTAATAATTAAACATAAGTGGCAAATGGGGGTGCTATAGATATGGCCAATACTGTATATATATATGTACAAGTACGACTCACTGTGCGCGCAAGCGTGCAATCAACCAAGTGTTTGGCTCAAAATAAGTCAGATTCTGGGATACCGTCGTATGGAGGAGAGAATGTGAAATTGGAAGTTTTAAATATAAAATTCAAGGTCATTCTTAATTTAGAAGCACTTTGGCATACACTTAAGGTTTTACTATCGCAATAATTTCTGGTTATTTTTAGTTAACCCACATATGTATGCATTAAAGGGTGATTTTGATAACACGCAAACACACACACACACAAGCTTACCAAAACGCGAATTGATAAAATTAAGTTATCTAGGAACTATAAAATGGTTTGTTCGGCTTGTTTGTATGAGTGGTGTGTATTTACAACTGCGTTTCAACGAACTGTGTTTCCGTAATCGAAAAACCAATATGGCAGAGAAAGCGAGAGAAATTTGCTCACTGTGCCGGAAGTCCTATTAAGTTTTAACAAAGAGTATAATTTTCTCTTTCTCTTGTTAGAGAGTGCCAAAATTTCTTCGTTATGTATATTGAGAAGCTATTATAAATGATGGAAAATAACTTGCTGATAAAAAATTAACAATGCCGCTCAATATGATTGCGAAATTTGTTTGGCAAGCGCAGTGCCATCGAAGAACTTTGAATTTGTAGAAAATTGTAAGTGCCTACATACATATGTATAAAGCTAGTCGTTCTAAGGCAGGGACCATACGATTTGTACATTTTCACCGTTACGGAGGAGTGTTGTTTGGAAAGTTGTTATTGAGCTCAACTCATTCTCGATAAAAATTTCTAGACAACACCACTCTGTGACTGCCAAATGTACAAATCGTGTGATCCATTTTACATAGCCTGTTGAGTTATTTTGCCCACTGTGCTGCCATATTACTGACAAATGAAAACTGGAATAAAATTCGGCCTGTCTACATCCGAAAGACTTTTTTTTATAACTGCCTCCTAGTTAGTAAGCTTGTTACTAAAAAATGTCAGTGTCATAAAGGTTTCCCATAGACCGAAAATAACCGTTAAATATCAAGATTTTTATTTTTAGATCATTACAAAATCGTTATTTTTTTATTTTTACGGTCAAGAATAACCGTTATTAGTATTTAGATTTTTATTGTTTCGGTCAAATTTAATCGTTATTTTTTTATTTTTGTTTTATAGATCATTTCCATTTTCGATCGTTAGGCAAAAAACTAAATCCGAAAATTACCATTATATATCTACTATAAAAATAAACATTTTAAATTACGATCAAAAATTTATTGAAAAAATAAAAATCGAAAAATAACGATTATTCTTGATTCATAAAATAAGGGTTTAGTTCGGTCAGCAAAATATGAATCCAATTTCAACGGTCCCTGATTTCAAGCGTTGCTTTGAATCCACCTAACTGTGGAATGCAAGGGGATATGGCTGCTGAGTAAGCAGTTACAGTTGCACGACCCTGACTCTTGACAAAATGAGCAACTCCCGCGAGAATAGGATCGACACACACTATATATTTGTCGATTTCAAAGCCGCTTTCGACAGCACGAAAAATAGTTGCCTGTAATCCGACAAGACTGAATTTGGTATCCCCGCAAAACTAATATGGCTGTGAAAACTGACGCTATGCAAACCCACTAGCTCCGTTAGAATTGGCAAGTAAGCATGGATAAAACTATTGGCTTTACAACAATCTTAAATGGCCAGTAATTATTTGTGGGCAGCCTGAGCGAATACCTCCGACACTCACGCCCATTTTTTCGTGAAATCATTAAAGAGTCGTCAATTAAAAAGTCAACAGACCGCAACACATGCCAATACATATTAATTGACAAAATAATATTTAAAAATGTTTTTTTTTTTTGTTTACTTTGCACTGTTCAACAAAAGCCAAACAATTTTTTATTTGGTTCTAAACATTTCCTCTTCTTTCTGCTTTATGTTCCAGAAAATTTCCATTGACTGGAGGCCACACCCCTTAACTGCCTATTGTGACTATTTCTTCCTTGAAATCAAGTTATTTTATGATTTATTTATTTTATTTAATTTTTTTTTATTTTGTTTACTGTGATGGTTTTTGAATTATTTGTTTAATTAACTACTCTATTCGTGCCATTGTTGTTGGTTACTGGCTGATTTAATGAAACTTACATAACAAATATTTTCGACTGACGCAATACCATTGACTTTCAAAGTCTCGATTCGTGCATTTTTTGTGCGATAGACTTTGCAAGAAATTGATTGACTTGATTGTTTTTAAATGGCAATTCGTAATGCGAATCTTTGAGCTTTTATTTCTATAAAGTACATACATATGTACTTTAATATTGCAAATATGTGTGCTGTCTTATAATTTCTATGCGCACGCAAAATATGCAAGCAACCAGTAAAATTTAGTTTGAAGGCGAGTCTTCCCAGCAAACACAGTCTCTAACGTTAGAGAAATTTGGATTTCTGCATTAGATAACTAGGGTATTTCTCTAATCGTTCTCGAGTCGATGACGAAGTTAGAGAACTACATTAGAATTCGATTCGAGAACGATTAGAGAAACAAAGCAAATTCAAATAAGTGTAAATAAGCAATATTCCAAATGAATGAATCATAATTTTTTTTAAGTTCAAATAATTCATTATTATTTTATTGCAAATACATTTAATAAAAATTTTACAAACCAAAGCGTTTTATTTAATAAAGCCAAATAGCAGTTTGAAATTCAAATTCGAGTCCCATTAGAGATCAACATTAGAATTCGATTAGAGAATTTATATTTTCTCGAGTCGAGAACTATGTCCCATTTTTGTTGAGATTGCTATGATTCTCGATAGTTTTTCGAGTCAATCTCAAACGTTTGAGATTGGAGAATGTGGCTAGTTCTCCAATCATTATCTAATCGATAACTAACCTCAATGTTTGCTGGGTTTATGACAAATACATTTTGAAGGCTCCATCTGGGTAGCACCCCATCCAAGCATTTAGGAAAAAAATGAATGCAATCGATTGGTCAGGATTGGTCACTTATTTTCATCGTTTGGTTATTAGCCGTTTTTTTAATCGAATTTTAAAAATAGGGGTTGAAAATTGTATGTGCTATCACCCTATCCAAGCATTTACGAGAAAAATATATATAATCGATTGGTCGTCGATTTGTTAGGATTGGTCACTTAATTTCATCGTTATATTTATCGATTTTGTTATTGATATTTTTATTGATTTTGTTATCGATATTGTTTGTCGACTTTGTTATCGATATTATTTATGGATTTTGTCATCGATATTATTTATCGATTTTATTATCGATATTATTTATCGATCTTGCTATCGATATTTTTATTGATGTAATATCGATTTTGTTACCGAATTTTTATCGATTTTGGTATCGATATTTTTGTCGATTTTAGTATCGATTTTGTTATATTTGCAATCGATTGGTTGTCGATTTGTTAAGATTGGTCACTTATGTCATTGATATTTGTATCGATTTTCTTATTGATTTTGTTATCGATATTATTTATCGATTTTGTTATCGATATTATTTATCGGGGTTTTTATCGTTTATTTATCGATTTTGTTACCGATATTTTTATGAATTTTGTTATCGATATTTTTTCAATTTCGTTGATATTTTTATCGATTTTAGTATCGATTGTGTTATCGATATTTTTATCAGTTTTTTTATCGAAACTTTTATAAATTTTGTTATCGAATATTTATTGATTTTGTTACCGAATTTTTGTCCATTTTATTATCGATATTTTTATCGATTCTAGTGCCGATTTTGTTGTCGATATTATTTAACGAATATATTTATCGATTTTGTCATCGATATTATTTATCGATCCAAGCATTTACGAGAAAAATATATATGCAAACGTCGTCTATTGGTCAGGATTGGTCCCTTATTTTCATCTAACTCCCGGAACTAATCGCAGGATTTGAAAATTCAATTGGAAAAACGGCTAATGACAAAACGATGCAAACAAGTGACCAATCCTGGCCAATCGATTGCATAGGTACATTTATTTTTCGTAAATGCTTGGATGGGGTGCTGCCCAGATGGAGCCCATTTTGAACATTGAGCGTAAGAAATGGGTTCCAATTCGACACTTACATACATACATACATTTCTCAAAACGGCTTACAAATTTTGAGTCGTAGTTTCCCAACCCAAATTTTCTGACGCTATCTTATCAAGTCAGCGATATTACTTTATTTTTA